ATTTATAATATTTATAGAATATTTATAATATTCACACACTACACCATGTCGAGTCGTGTGGTGTCATGTATAATAATTTTCTCTAATTGGCTGAACTACGTAGTTCAGGTACACCGTAATATTATGGTATACCGGTTTTTTTACTTCACGATAGTAGCTAAACGATACCACATAGTTGAATATGTTCAACTTAGTAAAACGATAATTATTATAATTGATAAGGACTTTGATATCATTGGTATTGCATGTTGGTATAAGCATTAAAAACACGACAAGACACTACACGGTGTACTCAAACTATCCGTAACCGCTAACAAAACCACATATCATATTCACTAAAACGTATTAGTAAAATATGAAGCATATATAAATGGTATGGTATTCACTAAAAGTTTAATATCTATCCGGTGCTCAAACTACCTGTGTAATCAGTACAAAACTCAGTTTATCAAACGGATATTGTAATTTTAACTGAACGTATTGATTATTGTCGCGGGAGCAACCGCGAATCCTGGTAATAGCAATCATAATACTCTGGTAATGAATACAGGCTGTTTGTTTTTTTTTTTTTTTTTCAGTGAACGCGCACGTAACTTCACGTTTCGTACCGCAGTCGTTACGCGGCAGTACTTTTTATACGTGCATGATATAATATGTAGTCTAACGCGGTTTAAAACGTTTACAAGGGGACGTACTTATCTGAGTGCGTGCGCACGTTCAAATCTCATTTATTATTTTTTATTTTTACCCTCCCACGATTACACGTAATATTATATTATTATACAATGATGTGTCCCCGCAGCTCGTACACGGGCATCGCATTACGGATATAACGTATATTACTTCATATACGGTGGCACATCGCGCGGTTATATTAAAGATTCTCGACTTCTCCTTGTGCGTACATTGTACGGTTATGTTTTCGAATAGAAAGGTTCTCGATAAAGGTCGTCGTCTGAAAAATAACTCGTTCGGTATGTACGAATAAAAGTAACACTCCGCTCTTAAATCGTGACGTTTGATGTCGTGACCGACTGACTACCAGACTTATCATCAACGCCTAGCCCAAACCACGGAACGGATCGGGCTGATATTCGACATACAAATAGCTATTATGACAACGTAGGCATCTTCTAAAAAACTATTTTTGAAAATTCAAACCCTAAGTGTGTAGAATAGAGATTTCTTGACATGTTTGGTACTCGAATTTCTAAATGTTTATTTATTTATTTTTGTTTAATTTATGGGTTATATATGTTACGGTAAATGTTGTGAAATCGGTTAGTGCTGTTATGTTTAAATATATTAACCTATTTTAGATTTTAAGTGAAGCGAGGAATGTATTGGTTTTATAATGATTTTTATTTTTTTTTATGTGAATACTTTTTCTATTAGAAAGCAAATTCTGATTATCGAGTATAGCAACTTTTCTGAAAGGAAATGTTCTCTGGGTGGTACTTTGAAAAGGTCATTTTTTGAATTTCTCATCAATATTCGAGATAACGAGGTAAACCTCGGTCTTTAGGTTAAAAAAGACTGAAAGATTAAAAATAAGGTTGTCATTGGCAACCTTTTTTATTTATTTTTTGTTATTATTAAGTTTTTATTATTTTAATTTTTTTTAAACAACCATCGTTGTCATAGAAACGCAAATTGTTGTAATTATTTCACCATAATATGATTTATATCGTATATTGTATTGTGGACAAAGCAACACTATCGTTGAAAAACTCAGAATCGTTTTTTCGTTAGCAATCGTTGCTTAAATATATACATTGAATTCTCGTCTGTATCCTATTTTCCCAACTTTCCACTGACAACAGTGGCTGCACCCACGCGCAAAGTATGTCCATATTTTTTTTTTTCTGACATGGTTTAATTTTTTGTACAAAATCAGAACTAATAACAAAATTGGCGAGCTATACTCAAACGAGTCATAGTCAAAAGAGTTACGACATCAACCGGTGCAGTGGTCCGTCACAATTTAAGAAAAACCAATTTTAAAAGACCGTGGCACACCTAGTGAGTGCTCGCGGCACCCGGTCTGAAAATCGCTGGTCTTACATGTAACGTTAAATCATCGAGAACGAAAAGCGATTTTAAGCGTAGTAGTATAGGTCGCGTTAGTTTGACGTGTAAGAGAGAGAGAGAGAGAGAGAGAGTGTTGTGAATAGAGAACCGGATTTATGATGCGCGTACCGATTTCGTACGAGTCGCGTGATCGGCACTATAACCCGACGTTTGATAATTGTCGAACGATACGCGCGATCGTATAAGCTAAACGGTTTATTTCGGGAATACGAAACGAATAAAAAAAAAAAAAATCAAACCGCAATCCCGCAATGACAACATTTTACGCGCGAAAAAAATTATTTCCTACGTAATACCGACGGCTATGACCCGCGGCGCGCCCGCGTGTTATTACACAATAGCAGTACCTGTGTAACGATAAAAAAAAACATCCGTATACGCGTATGGTTCGACCGGGCGTGGCGGGAGGGGGGGGGAGAGGGGGAAGGAAAAAGCCGCCCGTTGTTTAACGTTTCCCGAAAAAATAATAATAATAACGTCGCGTCAACCTTGTCGACGCTTAACGCTGTCGTTACGCGTTATTATCATAGTGCCGTTATTCACACACAGTAACCATTATACGATAATAACAACACGATATTAATATTATAATACGGTATTCAGTGTTCGGAAAACGACGTCGCGCGACGCCCACCACAAAATTAATTATTGATAACAACGAGAACGTCCCCGCGTGTCAAACGCCCGGGTTTCCGAAAAATGTTACGCAAAACGATATTATAACAAACGCGTGTTATACGTGCATAGGTGTGCGTAGCTATTATACGTGTATCGTACGGTACACAATATGGTACGGCGCGGTGACAATGCGCGCGACAAAACGCGATACGAACGAAAATATTATACCGACGACGGCGCTGCACTGCTGCGGTTAGTGCGGGGGAGGCCGGGGGACCTATCAATTACCATACCCGTAAAAGCGAAATAAAAATATGTTTCTATAAAAAAAAAAAAAACAACAACCCGGTTTCAGACGGCGTGCGAATGAATTCGTAGACGGTAAAAGACGAAGAAACGACGGCCGCACTTCGCACGCGGGCGCGGCCACCGTTGTTGACGGGGAGTCGGGAATGTAGGACGCTGTACGGAAATTCAATATTGTATCCGTAAGCAACGATAAACCACGGCCAACGAAATTCTGAGCTGAATTCTGAAACGATTCTGAACGGACTTTGGTTGATGGTGTTGCTGCTTTTTCAACAATATAATATATGTTATAGTATTACGGTAAAATGAATAAAACAAATGTGCGTTTCCACGGAAACGATTATTGTTTAAAAAACGATAAAAACTTAGTTATACCAAAAAAATAAATAATGGTTGTCAATGAGAACCTTGGTTTCTTGATCTTTCAATCTTTTCTAAATTGAAAAATCAGGTTTTCCACAATATTTCAAAAATTAATGAGAATTTCAAAAAATGACCGTTCTAAAGTACCACCCAGAGAACATTTCTTTTCAGAAAAGGTGGTAAACTTGATAATCGGAATAAGCTTCCTGGCAGAAGAAGTGTTTGTAAAACATCTTTGGAAAACCAATACATTCTTCGCTAAACTCAAAATCTAAAAACTATCCTAGGATAATGGGGACGGGTGTAGCCACTGTTATAGGTAAGAAGTTAGAAATGTAGCATAGGGGAAAATGTAATATATATATCTTTAAGCAACGATAAACTATTGATAACGAAAAGACGGTTATTCCGAGTGGAGTTTAGTTGATAATGTTGATTTTCAACATTATATACGTCATATTATAGTAAAATAATTACATAGATATGCATTTGGTATTTTTTTTTAATATAGTACCTTTTTTCCCGTTTTTCCCACGTTTTTCTCGGTTTTTTCCATTTATTGAAAAAACTCTTGGGAAAATTAAAAAACGACTTCCCTTGAATACAACCCCAGTCATATTTAATTTTAGAAAAAGTGCTATCAATTTAAATCCGAGCGAAATTGCTGGGAGAAAATTTGTCCACAGAAAAATAAATAAATAAACTTCATTGTAAAACCATAAGCTCCTTCGCTCCACTCATAACTCATACTGGTAACGTGTGTACCACTATTGTAAATGGGATGTTGGGAAGGTAAAATTCATAAAAATATTAAGTTTTTATCACTGAAGCAACGATAAGCACCTGCCAACGAAAAACGATTCAGAGCGAAATTCTGTTATACGCAATAAACAAGGTTACTATAGGGCCAATAAGACCACGGACGCACTCGGGCTATGAAAAAGGTACGAATTTGAAACGGGTAAGTACGTGAAAGCTCCGGGGTCGGAAACATACGGACATTGAGATACTGAAGTATTTCACCACGAATTAAAAAATTGTCCACAGAAAAACAAAAACAAACATCTTTATAAAGCCATGAACAAAGAGCTACCCCACTCGGAATCTAAAATCGTCGATAAAAATTTGTTTGATTTCAAAAATTAATTCGATCACACGTGTAAGTAGTAATGTAGTGTACAGACTTTCAAGTTATCACTGTTATCACGAATAACGTGTACTCCGCTCGGGTTACCGGCAAATCGACTCGTTATCGAACGGCGAAACCGATTCGAAACGTGCGTGGTTTTCTATTTCCGATCGTTTTACGTGTTTCGGGTAAATCGTTTGGAAAAGCCCGAAAAGTTCAAAAACAATAACCTCAGTTCGGCGCGCCCAAAGACGTTTATAAAAAAAAATAAAATACCGGCTGCGCCCTACGACTACGCGTTTGGTCGTCCGGGCCGGTGTCCACGGCGACGGGGAGAGGATTACCCGATAGCAACGCGCGATAACAATACGAAAAACCGCGAATCGCGCAGTCTGGTCGCGCCCGAGCGCACGCGTGAACAAATATCGTTGATCCGCGGTAACGCAGTACCTCGTTCCGCGCACCGTTACATTTTGGTCGGCGTCCGGCCATGTCGGAAAACGCCGAGGGCTGCGAAAACCACCGGCAGTCGCTGCCCGCGCGGTACAAGGCCGACGGCCCGGAGGCCCGGTGGCGGAGGATGTGGGTGTACCGGAACGGCAGCGGCGGGTGTCACGTGGACGACGACGGGGCCGACCGGTTCGAAGACGCGACCGGCTGCTGTCCGCCGCTGACCGACGAGATGCGGGAAGAGGGCAAGGACAAAGCCCGGCCGGAATTGATCAGCGACCGGCGGCCGGTCGAGCAGCGGGAGGACCGGCAGCTGTTGGAGTAGAGGCGTCACGCGGAAAAAAAAACCGAAAACCCCGGCACCGGACCGGTGCGCGGGGACCTTTTTATGGACGAGCGCGCGCCGCCGTCGTCTCGTACAATGCCGGGCAATAAATTTTCGTGTTTTTATTATTACGCTCGAAAACGTGTGCGCTCGGCAACGCGGCACCGCGCTAGCGGACGTTACGCGCGTATTATCGTTATTGTTGTTTGTACGCAACGCGCGCGGATTTCGCACCGGCGACTTTAACGGCACGTTACGCGGCGTCGCGTCATTATGGCGCGGCGGTGTTGTCGCGCAGTGTTTATTATTGACCCGACCGCGCGTTATTACCGGCGGGCGGCTGTTTCGGAAACGTCGCCGTGAGCCGGTGGTCCGCGCCAACGATAACGCGCGCGTAACGACCGCGCGGGCCGTAGGCGCGAAACGGCCCGCCGCCGTCCGCGGGGCGGGCGCGCGATAGTTTATATTATTTTTTTCGCTCGGCGTTTGCGCCGCCGCCGCCGCCGCCGCCCGAAAGCGCGGGGCCCCTGTCCGTACCGGAACGGTAACGCGTTGTAAATAACGCGGTCGCGTTGTAACGTGTAACAGCGTTTTCCGTCCGACCGCGTCCGCTGCGTAAATAATCGCAAATGCCCGCGCGGGCGGCCGCGTCGGTTTTCGAAGCCCGGTGAGCTACGAGCGGAAAACGACAACCGTCTTAAAGGCGAACCGTGTGTAATCGAAGAACAAATAGCAAAAAGTACCCGCTCGCAAACAATGTTTACGATATTTACGGTCTGTCCGCTGAGGACACGATTTGCGGATTATGCCGCTTGAGGAGGTTTCATTTTTGTCGTCACTAGCTGTTGTACGGCCTAGAACGTCCGTACAACGTGTTTGAAAATTTTCCTTTTTTGGAACGTCTCCGTTCCGAGCGTTCGTGAAAATTCCAATTTCGAGCACCGGTCGATATTATTAGTATTATTATTTTATTCGTGGGTGCGGGGGGGGGGGATAGAGACGGTGTTGGATAAATTGTGAAAATTGTTTTCTTAACGGGGTCAAACACGCGTAGGAACAGTGTGAATTGACGATACGTGTCATTTGTATTATTAACAACAAAACAACATGTGCCCAAAATAAGTTACGAGTAAGTATTTATTTACAAAGTGCCCCCGCGTTACACGATTTGGCATTTTATGTGACGCCCGGCTTCAAATAAGATGACCGGGCACTGTAGAAAATGGCCGTAACATACATATGTAATTCGTTTTACTATTGGCAAATCGGAATGTAGATCCACCCGCGTACAGGTCAACGCTCTGTTGCGGTGCCACAATATTCTAGGAACGGGCGAATGTAATTATTATGCTCATTCAGAAACTGGCCTAATAACTTATATAGTCATAAAATCAACTCTACTAAATAGTCAGGTGGGTATACAAGGCAGGTAGTCTAGGATAGACTGGGTATCGGGTTCAGTACCCGGCGGCGGGTGGATCAAGAATCCGGTTTTTTGCATTTTTATTATTCGTAGTTTTCGTATTCAATGTTGTCTTATACGATTTTGCGGTTCTTGGTTTGTTGGAAATAAACATCTTTAAACCGCACCTTCTGATTAAGTTACAAATACGCGCTATTAGCGGTACCGGGGACATCGCATTAACGTAATTTTAACAAGCAATATGATACATAACTGTTGTACGGATGTTGAAACGTAATGTTTAAAAAAAAAGGTTTTGCGAAAGACATTATTGCAACCGAAATACGGTCGCGCAGGTATGTCAAGCGTACTTAAATGAAAAACAATTTGTCAATCAAAAGAACGTCCTAGCAACATTTCTGATAAAAAAAAAAAAAAAAAAAAATAAACTGCACCAATCGGTCCGCGAAAACTGTGTTGTTTCCAGTGAAATATCTACGCGACGACAAACGGGACATTCGCACTGGGCCCACTTACTGTTGGCGTACAAAATCGATCGTACCTGTAATTTTTTTATCATACTTTGGGAAAACAAACTTACGGCCGATTAATTGATTACGACGATCACGGTATATCCCGTAATGATCCCGTCTTGATTACGGTATCGCAAACTGTCGGTTTTCAACGTCGGTTTATTTTCGCTAAATCTGCGTGACGATAATATATTATGGTACGCACGAGAGACGTTTCGCGTAAGAAAAAACGAGTACCTACACCTAACCGAATTCGGGAGGCGATTCGTGTGCACCGCTTGTATGGTAATTTGCGATTACTCGCATGCTCATATCGTACGCCTATTTTTTTTTTTTCATAACAGTATAAACGGTGGGCGTGAAATAAAAAAAAAAAAAAAAACCAATTGTTTTGGACAATATAATACTGTCTATTATACGCGAATAATAATATAATAAATGTGCACGCGTGTGTATAAACCGTAGGCAGCGAGTGTTGCGCTGAGGTGGTGACTAGCGTTTATGCGAGCCGCTGCACAGGACCAATTACGGGCCAGCCGTTCGCAATGACAATAACGTATGCGACGACCTACACGTTAATCGGTTGGACCGGGCACGCTTCGCGTTATCGACAGAGCGTCGGACACGGGTATCGTATGCGTAAACACTGTCGTGTCTGTAAAGCAATTTAGCAGAAATATTATTAATTAAGAGAGCGGACACGACTGCTCTTATTGTTGTGTTCGCGGGGCGCGTCATTTTGTCGTGCGTTAAATTAACATTCCGACGTCGCGCGAACCGTCCCCACTATTAGCGTCGTTATTTTGCGACGATTTGCAACGCTGGTTGTAAAAAAAAAACGCTACCCTTTTTCGATAATTAATTAATTATCTAATCTAATTAATCTAATTAGAAGTTTAGTTATACTGTATTTGTGTTATCCGAAAATGCCTCGGTTTCGATAAAGTTTCTAATTAGCAAACACCATACCAAAGTATTTGGAAAACGTTATTTTAAAACCATCTTTTTAAAATTATAATCACACGGTATCTCACTGTACTATGACCAATGACCGTGATATGCTACGAGACGATGCCGCACAAACCATACTTCGTGCGTAGCAGTTGCTACACATCATTCGAGGGGTGGTACGAATACAGTTGAGTTTTGAATGGTTCAAGAGTTTAAACTGTAGAATTTTCAACTTTTTTACGTATTACGAATAGAGTTTGGCACCACTAGTAAGAGACATAAATATAGCACTCGATTGTATAGTTTTAAATTAATCAATGACTAATGAAAATGATGCTAAATATGTACTAGTTAAAGAAATATGAATATATAATAGCGGGGCAACATTATTATTATAATTACAGCATACGTTATTTTTTTTTTTTATATAACAATATACTTATCCAATACAAAGACCAATGAAAATAAAATTAAACTACATTTATTATTGCTCACTTTTTACACTTAACTAAATTAAAAGTTTTTGATTTATTATGTTATTATCTAATAGTTAGTTATAATATCTATTATGTAACAGTAAATTCAGTTGATATAGTACAGTTCGTTACAGAACCGTATTTACACATTTTGCATCTTGAGTCAATTTTATTTTCAAAGATATTTTTACGCTTCCTCCTCCTCCCCCCCCCCAAAAAAAAAGAAAAAGAAAAAAAGAGAACGTTTTTGTTACATAATCAAAAATAAAAATCCAATACAATCTAGTTATACTCTTTCTAAAAAAAAGAGCTGATACTGTCGATGGATACGCCTTTCCCAATGTTAGGAATGTAGGATATGGGAAGGTCGTTCGTCATGTTTTGATTAGAGTATTGATATTTAGTAGAATTAATGTTATTTACGGACACAAAAAAAATTAATCAAAAATCAAAAATCATAGTAAAATCAATACATTCCCCACTCTAGATAAGAATCTAAAAATATACGTTTGTAGTACGAATAATGATTAAACATATTTTGATTTTATAATATTTAAAAAAAAAAAAAAAAACAATATAATTATTATTAATTATTTTGATTTACTAAAATATGAGGTGCGAAAATATATGACTACGCTACACAATAGAACAAAATCAATAATTAAAAAAAAATCGTTAGAAGAAGATTAAAATTTTGATGCATCTATCCACGCGGGAACGGTAAGTGTGTACTTATATAACACTATAATAAATGTATAAACTAGTAAATTATTTTTACTCGCGTTGTCCGCGTGATAATATTAATAATATCGTAAACTGTTGATTAGGCGAAGATGACGATGGCTTCGGCAACAATTAATTTATACGACGGTGTGGAAATATAATTTATGACGGTCGCCACTCACTATTAAATCGAATTGCGTTATAGTACCATGATTTTTAAGCACCGTTTCTGTTTCGTAAATTGAGTCACGTGCGTTATCTGTCGTTATTCCTGAGTATATTATTATTTTTGTACCGATTTTTTTTTTTTTTCACAAGGCACAGTTACACGAAAACGATAAGGACGAATAGATTAATAAACGAAAGCATAATTTCTACACCTCTGTTTAAATAATAATTTATAACCTAATAATAATAATTTAACAAAATATACCAAAAGACACGTTATCGGTACACCATGGACCCCGGTTCCATTAGGGACAGAAGGTCTGAGGGTGTACAGAGCTAAAAAAAAACCTCCTCCCGCGCAACGTCGTGGCGAAATTCAACCGGAATTCGAATCCCGCCCGTAAAACAACTCTATAATTCCCGTGTTTGAGCTCATTTAGTCCGGAGGGAGCCGTTTAAAGTGTCCGATAGTAGAGGCAAAATACGTATATTATCTAACAACAGACATCGGGGGGGGGGGGGAGGGGAATCCGATAGCCAACGAATTAATAATACCGGACGAAGTTAAATTATTCGAATTTGACCGCAGACAATACCGCGCTGATGGTGCTGATATGTACCAAGCGATTTGCCTATATTATTTCATTTTTCGAACATACGTCTGCACGTGATCATTTCGCGTTAAAACTACATTGAAACATTATTACACGTCATGTGTACATGTATGACTACGCTGCCGCTACATAA